GCCTGTAGTCCCAGCTACTTGGGAGGCTGAGGCAGGAGACTCGCTTGAGCCCAGGAGTTGGAGGTTGCTGTGAGCATGATGCCACAGCACTCTATCCAGGGGGATAGCTTGAGGCTCCGTCTCAAAAAAAATAAAAAAATAAAAAAATAAATAAAAGCAAAATACCAATTCATAAATGGTAATGAAATAAAATCAAATAAGTATGATCTTACTCTGTCACCATCACAGCTCACTTTAGACTCAAACTCTTGGGCTCAGGTGAGTAGCTGAGACTCAATCTCCTGAGTAGCTGAGACTACAGGTAAGCACCATAATGCCCAGTTGAATCTTAAAAAAAATTTTCTGTGGAGACAAGGTCTCATTATATTCAGGCTGGTCTCAAATTCCTGGCCTCAGGCCATCCTTCCACCTTGGCTTCCCAAAGTGCTGGGATTAAAGGCATAATCTACAATGTCTAGCCAAGTATGGTCACTTTAAAAAAAGATAAAAAGTAAACATAAAAATGAGCTGATAGTCAATGAAAATCGCTATTACCTTATCAATTCAAAACTCAGTCAAATCTAACTATCCTCACTGCATTCTTTCTGTGCCCCCCCCACCACCACGCTTTTTGAGACAGGGTTTTGCTTTGTTGCCCTAGCTAGAGTATAAAGGCATCATCATGGCTCACTGCAACCTCAAACTCCTGGGTTCAAGCTATCCTCCTGCCTCAGATTCCAGAGGAGCTGAGACTACATGTGGGTGCCACCACCCCTTGCTAGTTTTTTTACTTTTTGTAGAGACAGTGTCTGGCTTTTGCTCAGGCTGGTTTCAAACTCCTGGCCTCAACCAATCCTCCCAACCGTGGCCTCCCACAATGCTAGGATTATAGGTATGAACCACCAAACCCAGCCAATTATAGCTACTTTGTCAATAAATTCAAAAATTGATTTGGGCACAACAGCTCACGCTTGTAATCTTAGCACTTTGGGAAGCTGAGGCGGGTGGACTGCCTGAGCTTAGGAGTTCAATATCAGCCTGAGCAAAAGCAAGACTCGGTCTCTGAAAAAAAAAAAAAAAAAGCTGGGAATTGTGGTTGGGTGCCTATAATCCCAGCTAGTTGGGAGGAGGAGGTAAGAGAATCACTTGAGCCCAGCGTTTGAGGTTGCTGTGAGCTATGATGCCACAGCACTTTACCAAGGGTGACAAAGTGAGAATCTGTCTCAAAAAAAATATTGATGGACAGCGCCTGTGGCTCATGTGTAGGGCACTGGCCCCATATACCAAGGGTAACAGGTTGGAACCTGGCCCCAGCCAAACTGCAACAAAAAACAAATAATATTTTGCCTGTATATATTTCTGTCTGGCCTCATTTCTGGTTATTGTCCTGCCTTGTTTTTCCTTGTATAGCTGACTATTAACACAAATACTGGAGGATGGTTAATCTATCATCAGCACTATATAGGAAGTACTCAATTATTTACTGAAGAGAACGTCCAAATTTTGTTATTCTATGCCGATTTTTTCCTAAGGAAGGAACATAATGATTAAAAAAAATCAAAGTTGCCCCATTAAATGTTTGGTTTACCTGTGGATCTGGGTGGTCTTCCATATTTGAATCATCATCAGAAGAACTTTCAGTATACCTCAGTAAAAAGAGAAAAAAATATTTTGAAGGTTTTTTTTGTCCACAATCTAAAATAATAACTACCTCAAACAAATAAATATATACAGGCAAAATATTATGATGATTAAGAGTCCTTCAAGCTCTGGATTAGAGAAACCAGAATTCAATAACCAGTTTACTCAGTTAATAGCCTCTACTTAATGTCCCTGAGTGTCAGCTTCCTTGTCTATAAAACAGAGATAACTAATATCTACCTCACTGGGGGGGCGCCTGTGGCTCAGTGGGCAAGGTGCCAGCCCCATATACCAAGGGTGATGGGTTCAAACCCAGCCCCGGCCAAACTGCCAAAAACAAAAAAAAATAGCTAGGCATTGTGGCGAGCACCTGTAGTCCCAGCTACTCAGGATGTCTGAGGCAAGAGAATCACCTAAGCCCAGGAGTTGGAGGTTGCTGTGAAATATAGAGAGCACTCTACTGAGGGTAATAAAGTGAGACTTTGTCTCTTAAAAAAAAAGTACATACTGTATGATTCTATCAATATAAAATTCTAGAAAATGCAATCTACATACAATGACAGAAAGCAATCAATGGCTGCTTGTAAATAATAGGTGGAGGTAGAAATGAATTGTAAAGGGGAACAAGAAGACTTTTGGAACTGATGGAAGCATTCAGTATCTTACTAACAGTGATGGTTTAATGAATATATACGTAACAAAACTTGACAAATTATACACTTTAAAAATGTACAGCTTGGCTTGGCGTCTGTGGCTCAAGTGGCTAAGGTGCTAACCACATACACCTAAAGTGGCGGGTTCGAATCCAGCCCGGGCCCGCCAAACAATGACGGCTGCAAACAAAAAAAAGCCAGGCGTTGTGGTGGGTGCCTGTGGTCCCAGCTACTTGGAAGGCTGAGGCAGGAGACTCCCTTAAGCCCAGGAGTTGGAGGTTGCTGTGAGCTGTAATGCCATGGCACTCTACCCAGGATAGCTTGAGGCTCTGTCTCAAAAAAAAAAAAAAGTACAGCTTATAATTTGTTAATTATACATTAATAAATTATTAGAAAGCCTTCAATCACCTGGCAAGGTGGCTCACACCTATAATCCTAGCATCCTGGGAGGTTGAGTTAGGTGGATTACCTGAGCTCACAAGTTCAAGACCAGCCTAAGTAAGAGTGAGACCTTATCTCTAAAAATAGTATTGTGGTGGGTACCTATTGTTCCAGCACTTAGGAGGCTGAAGCAAGAGGATTGCTTGAGCCCAAGAGTTGGAGGTTGCTATGACCTATAATGCCACACCACTCTACCAAAGGTGAAAAATAAGACTCTGTCTCCAAAACAAAAACCTTCAAAATCAATTTTTTTTTTAAATTTTCTTTTTCAGAAAGGGTCTGTTCTGCAGGGTAGAGTACAGTGGTATCAACATTATTCACTGGGCTCAAATGATCCTCTGGCCTTAGCCTCTCAAGCAGCTAGGATGGGCATGTGCCACCATGCCCGGCTCACTTTTTTTTTTTTTT